ACTCTAACCGATGCACAGCCTCCCAAATTCCAGGTGACACTGTGTGCTCTGTAGAAGCAACCTGCTAAATTGGTAGCAAAGCAGTTCAGCGCAGCAGCGTGGGACAAATCTTGTGCAGGTGTTGTCCATATGTATTGGGTATGTGCGTGGAAATGGGAAGGGTGATGGTAAGTTTTTTCATCTGTCAGTGTATCGTTTTTCACAAGGGGTGGAATTTTTTTGAAGGCTTAAGGAAAGGATGGATTTTGCTCAAGGTTCTTTCTTTTTATTACTGTAAGATTTATAGCATTGCCAAGCCTCTTATTTGGACTGATCCCAGACCTGCAATCCCTCATCTACTTGGAGTGCAGAGCTCTCTTCCTCTGTTTTTCCAGCTTTTACTCCAAAGGTGGAAAAAAAAATCAGCATTTAAACTATTTTTTTGAGGGGATTAGTTTATTCAGTCCTTACTTCTAAATTAAAAAGTAAGGAATGTTTTAATGAGACTCAGATATTCTCATAGTTTTATTCTACATCTCATGACAGGGTTTTCGATTTTAGAGTGGTAGCTAATTTCTACTTTAACCAACTCGCTTCCTGCCCTGTTACAGTTGCTTTATCTGTCTCAGTTCCCTGACACTGTGGGCTTAAAGCCCTTACCTTTTGGCCTGTATCCACCCATCCTGACTCGGAAAAAGAAGGCTTGACTGAAGGAAACGTTCCAGGAACACCTTATCCTTCGCTAGTTGATACAGATTCTCTGATGCAGGGTTGCTTTTTGGCTTTTCACCCTTTCAGCACTGCTGAGGCCAAACGTCTTCCCAGCCGGTCTGTAATTTCTCAGCAGTTCACTTTCTTCTTACTGCCCCAACAGCTTTGGTAGGTGGCTGTGTGGGGAAAGATGCTGCCACATGCACTGGCTCTTAAGCTGTGGCCTTCAGTACCTTGTGGAGTTGAGTGGCAAGATCTCTCCAAGTCTGACCTTTTCCTAGAGTACAGTTATTGCAGCATGCTTTATCCTGTACATTGAAACACAGAATACTGCGTTCTCTGTCTGATATTATGGCTACTGTGTGCAAAAGAAGTTTTTCCTCATTTGCATGTGTCTTCCAGAATGTCCCTTCTTAAAGAAAAGAGAGAATCGAAGCTGTCCATTTGCGTATCCTGCTCCTACCACAGGGTCTTTTGTAACAGGTACCGAACTAGGTGTGTTCAGTGCTCATTCTCAGTAGCTGATATCACTGAACCACTTATTCCATATATAGGAAAAACACTGGACACAACTTCATGACAATCTGACTGTGGCCATCTAAGGGAAGGTATAATTCTTAACTTGTAGCAAGCTTTATAAGACTGGGGAAAAGTCCAGAACAAATGATTCGTATCAATACAAAACGAAGCTCTGAGCTATACTGTTTGCAGGGCTGCCCTTCTCTCTCTTAGCATGTTCTGGAGAATGTTCTGCACTGAATTGCAGCTTGTCCAGCCATTTGGTTCATGTCCTGATTTTTTTCTGGCTCAAAATCATGTTTTGTTTTTCGCTGGATTCTTCTTTTGTACCTGTCTTTTGTAGGCTGGTACAAGAACATAAGGAGTGTCCGAAGAACAACTACTCTAAATGCCTGTTCATGTTTCTCCTACCCCTTGCCCTGATCTCTTCTCTCTTACTCCCGCCCCTTCCCAAATTCCAGAAATATTTACAGAACAAGAGTCGGCAATCCAGCATTAGCCTCAAATTCAGACTCAGATTTTTCTGGCTCTGTTTGCAACTAGTGCAGAAGATAACAGAGGTTAGAAATGCACTGGTTTTTTGTGTGTTTTTTTTTTTTTAAAAAGAGACCTCATATCCAGCACACTGGATGAATTGTGTTAGGTTTAAATAGGCCTACAAGTACTGGAGCATATGTGAGAAAATATATGTATCGTTGTCAGGAAATAGGAGAACATAAAAATACCTAAAATTATCTCATTGACTAAACTAAACACTCCTGAGCTCTAACCTACATAAAGTAATTTTCACCACTCTTTCTTCAGATTTTGTGTAGGGAGAATAGAGTTCCTTTCTTCAACTTACGGGTTCATTTGTAGGGCCAGTTAGCTCAGTCAGTTGAGCGTGGCGCTAACGACACCAAGGTCGCAGGTTCGATTCCCATTTGGTCCCCATGTGTTGCCTGATCTAGTGGAGAGGTGGCGTCCCTGGTGACAGGGAGGCTGGATTAAAATGATCTCTAAGGTCCCTTCCAGCTTAGGCCATTCTATGATTCTATGATTCTATAAGTGATAAAATCAAAAAGTCAAATGAAGAGAATCAAAGTGAAAGAGAATGGTGTTGATAGTTACACACTAATAGTGTATAAACTAAGCATTTACTTTCAGTCCCCCAGTGAAGTTTTGCAAACATAGATTTCCTAGGCAAACTGAGAAATTGGGCGAGGAGCGGAGAGACTGAAGAATTCAAATGATTTGCATTGTTTTCTTTGACCTCAAACTATAAGTATTTTCTCTCATTTCTGTTGTTCAGTGCTTAAAATGTCTCCTTTACATTTATAGATTTACATAAAAAGCCAAAATCAAAAGATAAATATTTCTGTTCTTCAGAAATTGTTTTAATGTTGTTTTGTGCATCAGAAAGTATTTGCTGACTTCCACTGTTGACTGCACATGCGCTTACTCCTCTGTGACCCCTTTCCATGAGTGTTTCAAGATTTGCTTTTCCCGGGCCATGGGAAGGACGGCTGGTGTCCGTTTCCAGTTTGCATGGGGTTCTGGCTACTGGTGACCTCAGCTAGTTGCCAGCAGACAATTTTGTTAACTATGTGAAGTAACTGGATTGTGTCCATCTTGTTGTGAAGCCAAGGGTTATTTCAGAGCATAGAAACTGATCTGCGTTCTTTGTAGAAGGAGTTCATCTGCACATTCTGTGGATTTGGCAAAGCAATCTAGAGAAGCTGGCTCTGCAGTGTGCATGTGCTGCTCTTCCTCTAAGGAATTGTGAGAATGTATTTTAGCAAAGGATTTCTCAAGCTATCAGATCCCCCAAAATATGTAGTCACAGAAAAAAATCTTTTTAAAAAAATTATTATTTGATATGGTTTTCTTATTCTTAAATTCCTGTCATTTCTGTCCTTCCAAGAAGATACCAATACCCATCAGTCTGCCCTTTAGTCTGTAAATTTGTATTTTTTTCTAAGAAGAGCTCTCATATTTTCTTAGCTACTCTCTGACAGTAGGATTGAGTTATTTCACTTTTCTGATGAACCTACATTTTTCAAATAAATGAAAACGTAGGGGTTTATATTTCAAAACTGAAACAGTTGGATTGCCTTTTTGTTTTCCTGGGGTAAGCATCCGTGATGCTCTGGGGAATGGAGACTGATCTAAAATAAGCCTAGCTGGGTTTTATTGTTTATCTGTTTCTTTTTTACATCTGTCTTGGTATTTATTGCTACCATCTGCATTTCATTTCAGGTTGTCTCATGTCTTATTCTGCATGTTCTGAGCCTCTTCTCTTTACATAGCCTTGGGCTGTAATATCACCATTTGCCTACAAGAGATCCATTTCTATCTGTAACAAAATGAATTGCATTCATCTGTGTAATTCATTTCTAATGAATGCCTTGCTCCTCATTAAACGGTGATTTACCTTTGTTTCCCTTTTCTGCACTGTCAACACTCACCATTTTGAGGTCCTGTGGAGAGATGCTAATTTGAGAAAGCAAAAGTCAATGCAACTAAGCACTCACAAATGCCATCCTCATTGGCACTTTCAGAAATATTCATGGGACACTTTGTAAAATACAATTTGCAGGTGAATAAGAAGACTCCAAATGTCTTCTTACTCGTATGTACAAATACAACACTTCAGAGTTTAAATGCATTTTTCCTTTTCTGTCTTGGACAGGTAGCCTAGCTTGTGAATCTTTTTAGATCTTGTCTGCTCTGCAGAAATTTTATGGATCATTGGCACATTTGGGGAGACTGTGGCTCTTGATACCCAGTCCCCTCTGCACCTTTTCAGGAATGTTAAAGTATTTCAATCTCATTTTCAGAATAATGTTTTGAAATACTTAATTTTGAGATCATAGACTTGTAGAACATTTTTGGCTTGAAGAGGCCTTCAAGATCGTTGAGTCCAGCCTTTGTCCCAGCCCTACCAACACCACTAAACCATGTCCTTCAGCACAACATCCACCCGTCTCTCAAACACCTCCAGGGATGGCGACCCAACCGCCTCCCAGGGCAGGCTGTTCCTGTGGCTGACAATGTGTTGGAATGATTCAGATCTGACAATATTTAACTTCAATCTTTTATGACCTTCAAAGATTAGTGTGAGCATTTATTGACTTTGTATGTAAAGGAAAAAGATTAGTACCATTAACTAATGAAACAGGGGTTGTATAATAATTTTATTACAGATTTGGTCCATACAGAACTTTTCTGTAATGCCTTTACAACTTACCCTGCAGCATCCCCTTTTCCAGCCCTGCACTTTACACAACAGCAGAATCTGCTGTGTGTGCGCATAGATCTGTACTGCTGACAGGTGATGGTTAGACTATAGGATGAATTACCAAGTTTATTTTCACTTTAAACCTAAGCAGAGTTTGAACTGTAGCAGCAGACTATGAATATGAATATGTTGTTGGTAAATGTTATTTAGAGCAATACAGATGGGGCTTAAGAATTTATTTTATTTACAGCATCTTTAACTCTTATTTTGGTCATAGTAAAAGGTACTCATTGACACTTTTGATCACTCACATGAATTAGCTCAGCATTTTGCAGTATTCATTCTTGTGACTGGCCAGATTGATCCTCTGCTGAAACTCTGGAGTTGCCAGTGGTCATCAGTTCAGTTATGCCGTTAATTTGATTGTAGTATTATGAGGGGTTTGAAGCATGGGTGGTTTTGGTTTTTGGTTTTGTTCTCTTTTTTGACTTGTCTTGCCTAAGTCATGTAGTACTTGGAAGTAAGAACACTGATTAATGTAACGAAATTTTATTTTTAATATACATTTTAGAGGACAAAACTGACCTTGAGAACAGTGTGATGCAGAAGAAAATTAAAATCCCCAAACTCTCTCTCAATCACATAGAAGAAGCTGGGGAGGTTACAGATTATGGGGAAGAAGATGTGGAGCTTAGACACAGTAAGGTACTGAAGTCTTTTTTTTTTTTCCCGTTTATTTTCTTTTTTTGAGCGCTTGGGGCGTATACAGATGTCATAGCTTAAGAATTCAAGGCCTGGTTTTGATCCCCTTAAAACACTGTGTTTGGTGAAATTGGATCAAATTGTGTCCGGCGGTGGGGTATGGGCTTTCAAAACCTGAGATCGAACCCTTTCCTGTTTATACCATCTGCACTGTTTAACTGCCATTTGAGATTTTCGGAACAATGCTCTTCGGCTTTGGCCCAGAATGCTTTCAATGTCACCAGTTCCATGAATGTCGAGCAGCTGCTCTTGGTGGCACTTGGGACCCCTTTTGCGCTGCTTGTTTGGAATTGGAAGAAGTGCCCTGAGACTTCCCAACTACAGCGGAGACAAACTGACAGGACTGCATCCCTCCATTCTAACTGCCAGTGGCCTTTTTAGATCCAGATGCCAGAAACCTACTATGTAAATGTATTTATTTTTTGATATCAAATGATTTCTTTAAAAGTCTGCCAGCCTTCCAAATAAAATACTGCTCTGTGGTTTCATGTGTTTTGCAGCTGCAGGAATGATACTAGTACGTTTCTTTATGGTGGGCCAGCATTTTTTCTTTTTTTTTATTATTTTCTTAGAACATGTATGGAGCAGGCATAACATCAAATAGTCTCATTTTCTGCCACATTGCTCATGGATATTGTGGTATGCGAATTGATAGTGTCAGCTTCTTGTCTGTATGAGCTCCATTTGCTTTCCTTGCAGTTGCTTGGAAGTTCAAATGCTTTTTCTATATTTGGCCAGTAAAACTTAGCAACTTTTACGCATACTTTAATATTTTAATACCGCTATCTGGGCCCCAGAAAAGAGGTGTGCTTTACTTTGTAGGGCTTGGCAGATGACTGAAGGTAAATTTCTGCTGAGAGCTCAAAGGACGTGAAGCCTCTGCAATGCAGTACTAGTACAAAAGGAGTCAGTTGAGGCTGGATGATATATTGTCTCCAACTTCTGTGTTTTCAACTCCTTTTCAGTGTTTGCTGATAGCGTTAACTCAGTCACTTGCATTGGGCAGCTGGGTATATGTGCTAGAGGAATAGTCAGCGAAGGTTTTGTCTCCCAAAGCGTGGGAAGGACAAGCCAACAGTTCACAGAACAGCTTGGTGTGGTGTGGTGTGCTGCTTTCATCTCTGATGTCATTACAGGTGACAAACGGAGCACATCGTTGATTCTTTCTCTTATCAGAAAATCAGTTGCTGTCAGAAATCTAAATTCTAGGAGTAAACTTTAAAGGAAGAGAGATCCAGATCCACTTATTTTTTAAAATAGAAATTAATTATCTTTATAGATGGAATCAAGTGGCCTATATACATTGAGCTTGCAAGTGTTGCACAAATGCAGAAAGAAAAGCCTTTAACTGGCTCAGAAATTTGTAAATGCATTTAGCTGAATTACACGTGCATGATAGTTATGATGTATATTCACGGAATCTGTTAGGCAAAACATTTTTGCAGGCAGACTTTGTCATGCTTTTTTTGGAAGACAAGAATATTAACAGTTCCCAAGTCTGTAGAATGTTAATTTTATTGCATCTTACTGCTCTCCTAATTTTTTTTAAATTTTTTTATTGTAACATGCAGAGACAAGATGGGAGGAAACAAAGTGAAGGTACACACAAAAGCATTGAAGCAGTTGTTGCGCGCCTTGAAAAACAGAATGGGATGAGTCTCAGTAATACTTCCAGTCCTGAAGAGGCTTTTATGGAGACAACGGAAGGCATGAACAACATGGACGATGCTGTAGTTCCTCGGATTCTGTATGAAGAATTGCTGAGGAGTTACCAACAGCAGCAAGAAGAAATGAGGCACATTCAACAGGAGCTCGAGAGGACGCGGCGACAGCTTGTGCAACAGGCGAAGAAACTAAAGGAGTATGGGGCACTCGTGTCAGAAATGAAAGAGCTCAGAGACTTGAACAGGAGACTCCAGGATGTACTGCTGCTAAGACTAGGTAGTGGTAAGTGCCGGACTTAAATGGGACTAGTTTTAATGAATTTTGCAGGTGTGATCAATAGTAATGGAAACGTATTTGAAGAATAGCAGTGGCTGTTAAACTGGACATTGGATGTTAAAAGGGTTTTCTGCTGTGGCTGTACAATATGTGTCGAATTTGTATGCTATGTACGTCTGGGTTTTTCTTTAATGATAATAGACGTCTTTGTGCTGGTATGGTTGAATCGGAGTTCCATTTTAAGCAGCTGTATTTTAAAGAGTCTCTGACCTACCAGTATATGATGAAAAAGATAATAAAGTGTCATCTGCAAAATATACCGATATGTTCCAGTTTAAAAAGAAAAAGAAGGAAAAAAGAGAAAAGGCAGTGGAATCGATATTTGGGCTAAAACTATTTTATTTTTTTTCAGTTAGGGATTTTGGTTATTGTTATGTAAGCTACTATGTTACCTTCTGTTTTATTCCCTCTCTTCCCATTAGTAGCTCATTAGAATGTGGTATGTTCCTGAACTTCTTAGCAGTGGCTTTAAACAGCCATGCTGTTTGAAGAATAATAGATTGTTAAAGAATAATTAAAAAAAATTATATTAGTGTCCCATTTTTCAACATTTGTTACAAAATGCAGGTTTGTGTAATTTGGATTTAAATTTTAAATATCTTGAGTCAGCTGCTCATTTGTTTTGGTTTATAACAATTATTTAACCATTATGTTGAAATAAATGGGGAAAACAGACAAAATAAAAAGTTCATCTTTTTCATTGAAGATGGTACCTTTGGAACACCTTCAAATATTTTACTAATTTTATATTTGTTTGCTATTAGAATGTGGTACTGCTGTGTTGGAGATTTGCTCGGTGACTGAAACATGGTTAAAACATGTGCATCCAAACTTAGCATGCTTTTTCTTATGTCTGCCTTTTTGTATCTGGAGACTTAATTTTTGCATGTAAATTGGACATTGGCTTTTCTACTTGACTGGAACGAGTGCACGTAATTTGCATGTGGGTCTGAGTCACATTCACGTACAAACCTGAACCGGAGAGCGCATGTGCCTGTGCCGTAGCATGTGTTAAGGTGTGCCCACAAGTCTGGAGCCAGGTTCTCGAAGCAGCATCTGACAATTGAAACTGAGTGTTTGATTTGTGAATGCTCATCATTGTTACACTGTGCATAATTAAAATGTTATTACTATAAACATTCTACTCAACTTGTTAATAAAACTAAATAGGCAAGGTTTCCACAGACTGAAAAACATGATGTGGTTGGCAGTAGATTCCACTGAGCTTTCTAAAATTTTCCTTGGATGGAAAGATGTTTCTTCATCTGCAAGTAGTTAGTTGGAATTTATGTGAATGGAGCAGCAGCCAGATGTTGGTAGGCAATGGGGCTGAACAGCGTAAAACACCAATTTAGTTGGTAGACTTGACAGCGATGTGAGTGGTGAGACCAGCAATGAAGTGAAGACAGCTTCTGCATTCTATCTCATTTCTTTCACTTTAAGAAAGAAAGGATACATTTTTTTTACTTGAGCGAAGTCAAGAAAACTTGGAAGAAAAGAGAAACCAACAAAAAATCCCAAAGCCTCTTGGAAAAATGCTGAATCTTTTCAAAATACTGGGCTTGAATTTCCATTGTATCAATCTGGTACCTGTTTTACAACCGAAAATAAATTTTGATTATGCTGAAGACAAGTTCTTTTAATTTAGTAACATACCTGGACAATATGAATTATAGGTAACTCCCCAAAAAATCCCTTGTTTTTATTACTTGCATGGAATTTTTTGTGGATGACTTGGCACTATGGGCTGTGTCCTTCACAGGTTGTGTGTTTCCTAAGACTTGGTGTATGAACACTGATAACTCTCACCTTTCCTCGTAGCCTCATCCACAGTAGAGAAGCAACCAGATTTCTAGAAAAATCAGTACAAAATTGATGACTGATTAGAAAGGGAGACGTCTTCAGCAAATTATAAATTAGAGAGTCTGATGACATTATGAAAAACTGCTACTTTTAATCAAGAAATAGATACGTAAAAACTTTTTTAGTCATCTTTACTTTTCCAGATTATAAATGAGTTATGTTTGGATATGTGAGTAATCTGTGAAAATTGTTCAGAAAATAGATTACACCCTGAATTCATCTTCAGTTTTTGCAGCGATCTCTTAAACCTAGAGGTTCAAATTACATGTAATTTATGTTACGCTGCACTTCTAGCAGGCTGGACTTAATGCAAACTAATTGCATTTCTGTTTCACCTTAGAGATTTCTATTTCTTTGCATGAGATGACAGCTGTTTTGTGCTGATGAATTGCAGCTGTGGGAAACGTGTGCCTCTTGCCATTTTAAACTTGCAGATCAAATATAGAACAGCCTCTTGAGCTAACACTGTCAAATTTTCAGTCTCCTAATTTCCCATCAATATGTTGATTTCAGTGAGAAGCTAGAACTCAATATATTCTGCTTTAGACCTAGGCCTTCATCTTGGCTACTAAATTCGAGCCACTCTTGCGGGATGAGCAAGGTTCTTAATCTTCCACATGGTGATGCTGAATTGCTCTTTGTTTTGAAAGAGCCTTGAAAGCAGATGTGGGAAATGTAAGTAGTGGAATCAGGTCTGATCTGTGGGGATATACCGAAACTTTTTTATTATTTTGTTACACTGTTGTCCAACAGATCCCTTCCTGGAGGAGGCAGGCATTTGACCAGGGCTCTAGGGACCAAAGCAGTGGGGCAACATGATGCCCATCATGGAAGAGGTTACGATATCGCTCATCTGAGCTCCTGAAGAACATGTGCAGCCAAAGCCTCTTCTCCCCTTGCCTCCTTTGGGATCAGGAGGCACTGCAATTGTAGGCTGTTGCAGTTTATCTTTGTTCCGTTGAACCTGAAAACACTACTGTGCCCTGGTTTCATCAGTAGATAATGGGATGATTTAGAAAACTAAATCACTGACTCTTCTCTGTAAGCCTAACTTTAAAATCTGTGGATTGAAAAAGATAAGAATTTCAATAACTTCTTAAAATAGTAGTCATCTCCAGGGTAAGATTTGTGCAGTTTACTGTGGTAGTATATGGCCAGAAATAGTGAAGTTGTATCAGGGACAATGTTTGAATGTTGTTCACACCCTGATAAATACTGCAATTTCATGTTGTATTGCTGAGAATTAGTGTTGCTCTAAAGTCAGGGGATATATTCACTTTCATTCATAAAAGCTCATTCATCAACACACACACAGCCACCCAAGGGGTTATTTTAAATCCCAGTTTAATGTGAGTGATCCAGTTCACAGTGTCTTGAGACTGACACTAGAGTAGGGAGAAGGAAATGGTATTTGTGTCTTACCATGTGTAAGAACTTTAGTATTAAGTATTTAGTATTTAGTATTTTCAGCTTTTGCATTTGTGTGGCTTTTTGATGTAAAAAAAAAAAAAGTCCAAGTTTACTATCAAGCACAAGTGCAAGAAGTACCATATATGTAATATTGCCATGTCTCAGACTCCCATTGTTTTCGTTCAAGTTCTCATAGACCATGTGGAAAACACAGTTTACCACTTAGAAAGGTATGTTGACCACTTCATCAGTTAGTTTATTTTAGCTTATTTACTAATTTTGGAATAGTGTGTAGTCTAAGATGTGTTTTTGAGGATAAGAGATGGAAATGGGAAGCCTTCTACCTCTTCATCCTATATTTGAAGTTGCTGGCCACTCAGATATTATGGAAATTTTACAGTCAGAAAGATTTTGCAATAAAACATTTGTTTCCTTTTGCCATTCTGAAGAATTGTCTTTTTTTTTTTTTTATGATCCTTATTGCATAAGTGCTATTGTTAGGCCTTTAGATAGTGGCATATTTTTGTATGTCTCATTTATCATCTTTAAAATAAGACGCTGAGTGTGAGAGCGGCAGAGAGAGAAAACATTTAGAGTGTGATGCGTGGTAAATTGGGCACACAACTCCCATTAGCAGTAAAGCAATAATACAGGTTGCGTGTCTAATTCACAACATGCCGGGTTGAAAATGCAGTTGGTAGCAGTTGGAGAAAGTAACTGTGAAGACTACCTAGAGGCAGATTTCTGTTAGGGAAGGAAAAAAACCCAGTAGGTTGTAAAAGACCTTTTAAAGGCTTTCTGATGGTGACTGTGCAAGCAATAAAGGGTGACTTGCAATAGAGGTTTTTCCTGACCTGTTAGAGCTATGGTTCTTTGGGCTTTAATCAGCTCTTTTTCTTGGGGAACTTTGGAAACCAAATCCCAGCTGTGTCAATATGTGACTATAAACAAAACAGTAAAAGACTTCTAAATAGCAACTAGTAAAAGTACTTGAACTGAGCTAAACATTTACTTCTAGGAAGGAGGTGGTGGTACATAGGTGTCTTCCTCAAAGTGATTTTCAAAGTTTAAGAAAACTCAATACAGCACTTTGCTGAAGAATGCGTTCTTAAAGTAACAGTTAAAAGATCACTTCTTAAGTTCACGCTGGCAATTACATCCCTGCATCTGTTTTTTCACACTGAGATGTGTGTAAGCTTAATCAATCCAGGTCCTTCCCCAATCTGAATCAGTTTAGCAGTCTCAAGTTTAGAAAATTTGGTTCGTGTTGCCATACCATTGTACAAGCATGATAGTCAAGGTGCTTATTAGGATTATTATGAAATTACAATTCAAATTGTACATGTTTTTGTGATTATTTGATCCGTGTTTGTGTTGCATATGACTCTTAAGTTTTTTGTTGGTGGCACTGCAATATAGGATTGTCCGAGTTGCCAAGACAACTTTTAGTTGGTGCTGAGTGTCAAGTGGCAGTCAGCTGAGAACATTTAGCTAACTGTGTTGGTGTGAAATAAGCTATAGGATAAATGTCAAATGCTGACAATGGAGAGAATGGTGATATCACTGTATAATAATCTCTAAATGCAGCTGCACAAAGTAGGAGGAATCAGTGCTTTGCTCGTTCCAAGTACAGGAGCTATTTAAGATACGTGACTAAAGACATGAGTTCTGGTGCCAGCTTGACTTGCCGAGTGAGATCAGTTCAGGGCTTGGTCCATGTGCACAGACACGGAGGAGAGATGCTGAGCCGCAACGGTGACCTGATTATTGAATTGTCGTTTGTTGAAGATGTCAGGGCTGGGCTACCAGCACTCTCAGCACCGACCTGCTACAATGTAGTTCTTACAAGTGGGTGAGTTTATCCTTAGTGATTACTGTGGTGTCCAGGGTCTAAGTTGGCAACCTTGCTGTGGTAATGAACCGTCCTCCCTTCGTGGAGCTTCAGTGGCTGCTGGAGCTTCTTGTGATCCTAGACACAAACATCAAGAGACGATGATAGGTTTGGAGCTGTAGCCTCTTCCTAGACTTCTGGTGTAACTGCTGCAATGAATGGGATAATGAAATCCAGTTTACAAATTATTTTTTGTTCTTCTGTCTTTTTTAGGGGCACTTCATAAATTTAATCTGTAAAAAAAAAAAGTTGATGACTGACAAAACAATTATCCTCCTCTGAAGCCTCAAACATATGCGTAGTAGTATTCTGTTGTTTAATCTGTCCTTGAATTTTTGTTGATTACATTGAAAATAAAAGTCAGTGTGTTGGATGGATTGGACAATGAAAATTCTTGTGTATGTGGGGGTTTTTTAAGCTTCGATACTCTTTCTGTGCATAATACTTTAGCATAAGTAGCCTAAGCCTGTTTCCTTCATAGCATCTCTTGCTATTTTTAATATACTTATGCTACATCTAAAGAGATTTCAAATTTCTATGAAATTTGTGATTTTATATGGATAATTTATGTAATTATCACAGTAAATTATGCAGGTTTCTGTTCAACTGCGTAGTAGTTCTTATTTGAAGAATTACTATTTTTGCTTTTGGTCTATAACTTCAGTGTTATTTTAACATAATTTTCGTAGTGTGCATTGGAGCAATCCTATTCATATCTGTAATCGTCCATATGCTTTAAGAATAAAGTTAAACATTTAAAATGAAACATTTTGATGTTTATAAAGCAGAGTTACTTATCCTGCTTTTATTTATTGATGGTCAGAAGTAGGATTTTGGTTTAGACTCTTTCTAACTTTAAAATGAATGTGACTAATGTGTTATTTTATGCTAACCATGGGTGATGAAGTGATTGATTTTGTTTTCTCTGGGATAGCAGACAGCTCTCTTTTCTTAACTGTCTAGGACCTGCCATTGAGCTTGAAAAAGTAAAACCAGAACCAATTGAGCCTGAACCTGAGGTACAGAAGACCTTCAGTGAGGAAGCAAATACATCAACGTACTATCCTGCCCCTGTTCCAGTAATGGACAAGTATATTCTCGAGAATGGAAAGGTATTTTGAATTAAATATAGCGTGAATAATTTGTAAATGTCCATCAGCTGATTTTCTTGTGTATTTTCACGATCATGGGGGTTTCGTATGGTAATAATTTATACAAACTTCCTCAGTTTTCATAAAGGCATGCTATTATGCTGAGGAAAATTTTGAAATTACACAAACGTGAACAGCATAGAGGATGATCCTCAGTGATGAGATCATTGAATGCTGTGCAAAACAAGAGAGAGAATTAAAATATGCATGCACAAGCAAACTGGCACAGTCTTTAATTGGTGACATAAGTAAATCCATTGGATATGGACCAAAGGCAGTAACCCCCATTGTAAAGTTACACTGGTCTAACAGAAATACTTTTTCCTAAAAGGTCTTTAATGTTTTTAATGTGCTATAGTTGTATTCCAGAGAGGCCTTCATGTTTTGATTGAATTGGAGTCCAGTAGATAATTAGAAACCCTGGAATGAAAATGGGCTCCCTTGAATCTGGTAGGAGCGCTGAATTGAGCTGATGTAGTGCTACTTCCCGGATACTTTTATAAAGTTGGTGAAATGCCATCTCGCTACAGTTTGCCAGAACGTGACTGATGGCTTTTCGGATTTCAGCATGTTTAACACATTGTCCGCTCATTTACTGAGGCCTGCTTTTTATAGCCGTTGCTGTTATCATTAAACGAACCTTGTATTTCTTTTACAAAACTGTATGTCCTTCAGAATGGCCTGTGCAGATCCTGCTTTTTAGGGTATGTATCCATTTGGTCCCATAATCTGAGAACCTTTAAGGAGGAACCGTCCATTTCAGCTTTGACATACAGTGGAATTACTGATGGAATAGCAAAAAATATTACATTTTCACATTTGTGTTACAAGATTGACTGCACAAGTGTCTGTCATTCTTGAAGATGAATTCAACATGAGGACAAAATGTATGTGAAAAATAGTGTGATCTTGGCAGTTTGACAGGTATTTGGTTCAGATAGCTTTTCTTGCCTAATGTATTTAACATGTCATTTGCTTGTGTATTTTGTGTGTATTTGTGGAATGGAAACTTAGCATATATTACCTCCTTTTTTCTGCTTAAGGTCTGTGGGATGGGGCACGTCATTAAGCATTTGTATGCAGCTCTTCCTGCACTTTTATTTCATCTGCCAGCTTCTTGGCACTTCTGTTGTTGAAATTTTCTGTCTTTGATGATATTAATATCTCTTTAACTTTCTTTTTGTAATTTTGGCTTTTCTTTAAGTTTGTCTATTTACTGGGGCTTCAGCCAGCTTAGATGCCAGGAATGTGAACTCATAATATATTTAGAGTGTTGAAGGGTGAGGATTTTTTTCAGTTTTCTTTATTTATGCCTTTTTTTCATTATTCCGTTATTGACATCCACCACTAGAAGTAGTTGAAATACTTTTTAGAAATCTTGCCCTTTGTGGCATTGGATTTGATCTTGGCAGGATTCTTTCAAAGGAGATAAATCTCTCCCCTCCGGAGGGAGAACAGTTACTGAAAAAGAGCCTATGGCATTCATTTAAAGAAAAGAAAAGAAGAAGAAAAAGAAAAGATGAAGAAAAAAGAGTCCATCTTCTGAGATACATTTTAGATATATTGCACATGTTTGCACGGTTACGGTGGTGAGCATTGCTTTGAATTTGCTGTTGTTTCTGGTGCATTGTGCTGGAAGGTTGATCCTGCAGTTGCTGAAATTGGGGGTAAAGTTCCAATTGATTTCATCAGGCCAAGGGTCTGGCCCATGGGGCAGCTCTTCCAGCAAGAAGGAAATGGCTTCTGAATCTGGAGTACAGTAAGCTTCCCGTAGCTTTGGGAGTAATAGGAAACAGTACCAAGCCTGAGCTAGAGAGAGGTAAACTGAAACATGGGCAGATTAAATTCCTTCTAGAAAAAGAGAGACAAGGTTTCTGTGACTGTTGGTCTCATAGTTGCTATTACCATAGGTGTTTCATACCAGCGTTAACTTTTTTAAACAAATCAAGCATGTTCAAAGAAGAGATGGTCTGTCTGAAACGTAAATATTAAAAATACTTGCTGTAACTTGTTTTCAGTAACTTAAAAGCTAATGAATAATATAGTAGCTTAAGAGACTAAAGGATCTTTAGCAAAGACAAACCCTAATTTTGGCAGTGGGAAATCAGATTTTTGATCAAATACAGTAGTCTCTACAACTAATACAATACAGACATCCAAAATTTGGCATGTCCCAACATTCCTAATCTTAGTAATTTTCTAAGTAACTGCTTGAAAGAGTCCAGTGCAGAGCCATGAAGATGTTGAAGGGAGTGGAACATCTCCCTTAGGAGGAAAGGCTGAAGGGGCTGGGTCTCTTTAGCTTGGAGAAGAAGAGACTGAGGGGTGATCTCATAAATGTTTATAAATACGTCAAGGGGGAGTGTCAGGAGGACGGAGCCAGGCTCTTCTCAGAGATGTCCAGTGATAGGACAAGGGGCAGTGGGTGCAAGCTGGAACATAGCAGGTTTCACAAAACTGGAAAACTTTTTTACTGTGAGGGTGACGGAGCTCTGGCACAGGCTACCCAGGGAGGTTGTGGAGTCTCCTTCTCTGGAGACATTCAGAGCCCACCTGGACGCGTTCCTGTGTGACCTACTCTGGGTGATCCTGCTCTGGCAGGATCTTTCTGATCTGTCGAGGTCCCTTCCAACACTGAACATTCTGTGATTCTGTAATTTTTGCAGATAACTTCTGAGATCAAAACAGAAGTAACTGAATTATAACTGTAACCTGATGATTTTCTGAGCACAGACTGCTCACAAAATATGTAGAGAGCACCAAGAGTGTGACTTTTTTGAAAGGAATTATGAAGAAACTTGACAACAGAACAGAAAGGAACAAAAAGGGATGTTCATGTTGTGGTTATTACTATTTCTATTTCTGTCCATTACGAAATCTAAATACCCTGCGAACTTGTGACAGGCTTCTTAGAAACCCTTTAGTGTAGAAGATTCTGCAGAAGAGGCAGTTTGCTTTATGGTTTTATGCTTTGAGAAGGTTAAACTTTTCATTTGTTTTTTATAGCATAGCTGGTAGCCAAACCATTCATATTTTTCTACTTAAGTTTTTAAACAATGAGTTGCTTCTGAAGGATGCTGTTGTAATAAAAAATTTCTTCAGGTTATAGCCCTCATTAATAATTAAAGCAGGTTTCTGTTAAAAGGAAAAAATGGTATTTGGTTGAATACAGGCAGTAAAATTATGAGTATATAAAATTTTACAGTAGCTTTTTCCAGTTTTCATTGCATTTAATGAGACTTATGTGATACTGTTCAGATCTGTATGGGTAGCAGGCACAGTTTATGTAACGCCACATGGAAGGAGTAAAACCACAAAAAACTAAGAGCCAAGCAGTTAAGGCAAGCAGAGTCTCCTAATACAGTTTTGCCAGAGAATTTTGTTCACAGGGTTTTTTTTAATTGTGAGAAGGCAGTAAGTTTTGTTAAAGTGTTAGTAGATTTTGTAAAACCTAAACTTTGGATATAACAATCCAATTAATACACGTTTTTGGTATTTTGCGGTTTTACAGGTTATCTGAAAGTAAATTCTATCTTCTTCCTTTCCAGTGCAGTGAACTCTTTTCAGTAATTAGAATAGCCAGGTCATGCATTAGCTTGTTACGGATGATGAGCGAGTGTGGGTCTGACAAAATGAAGTTCCTCACAATGTGAATGAAACTTTCTGTGCTCAGAGGTAGTTTAGTTGTGTGCACTGTACTCCAGGAGTTAGGAGCACAGACTTACAAGGTGTTCTCTGCGGTTCCACACAGGGGACAGTGTTTGTGTCCTGGTTGCACTCATGTCAGACCCGTGCTGATTACTAGTAGAGTTATTTTCCTTGCTTGGCAGTGTCCTGGTTATCAGGACTTTCAGCTCCAACATATACAGTGGCAGCCTAAGGGTGGTACTCAGATTCTCGTCCTGCATTCATCTTCAGTCAGGAGCACTGGGAATCTCAGGGTAGAGATAACAGTATTGCTCTGTGCGAGTCAACCAAGCATAGTCAATGCTCGAGCAGCTTCATTTTGGAGACACTGCATTTCCCAGTACCCATATTATCCTCGTTTACTACTTCAGTGAAGTATCTCTGCTCCCCATTGTCTGGGTAATGGTTGCATGATGTTGCAGCAATGGGTCATTGCCTTACCACAAAACAGTATTCACCATTGTAGAAGATAGGCAAGTTCATGACTGCTTTGGAAGTTTTACAAGGCTTCCAAACTCTCTTGGCTTATAATGAAATTGGAACTCTCAAAATCCCTTCTCCCCTTCTAGCTGCTTTAAGCAACCAGGCTGAATTCTGCCAACAGGTAGAGGATATGACTTAGGAAGTATTTCGCTCTCTACTGACTCCGAAATACACGTTTGGTAAAGTCTGTTTAAGCCAAAGGGAAGCTTTCACATTAAAGGCAATATTTCATCTTGCTCCAGGGTTAGGCTGGTGCAACTGTTTGGTTTGTATGCTGTGCATACCTTTATAATATTGGGTGTGTTTATTGTTTCCTTCTTGTGTCACTGTTCCTGACCATAGTCTTTCAGGAGACGGGGACTTTCAGGCTGTGCGGGGCTCAGGGAGAAAGTAGAGAGAGAGAGAAGAATTGAATATAAAAAAGAACTATATTATGTAAGACATTGACTTGAACTCCCTGACTCACAAAGGTGAAGAAGTTTCAGACCTAGGCAAAATGGATTTGTTCAGCCCTAACTACTGTTATTATAGTATCTAATATTAATGTTCCTACAGCACTTGGATACTGTTGTATGCTACGTTCCATAGATAAGTTGTTATTATTGCTACCTTCTAGGTCCATCTTGGCAGTGGAATTTGGGTAGATGAGGAGAAATGGCACCAGCTGCAAGTAACACAAGGAGATTCAAAGTACACAAAAAATCTAGCGGTTATGATTTGGGGAACAGATGTTCTCAAGAACAGAAGTGTCACAGGAGTTGCAACCAAAAAAAAGAAAGATGCCGTTCCCAAGCCACCTCTCTCACCTCACAAATTAAGCATTGTCAGAGGTAGGTTATTTGAAAACTTTTGCTTCCTGCTTTGGAGTTTAACCATTAATCACTGAGTTGAAAGATGCTTCTTTTCAGCTCATATAAAATTAACTGATTAAAAACTGTAACTCAAATTGCTATTGCATTGTGAAGTGAATATATATACAGGAAAAGTAAAACACATTGCAATAGCTGTGCACAGTGCAGGTCTTCACAGCTGAAGAGTTGTACCTTGATTTCAGTGAAGGTTCAAGAAGATTGTCACTTTAAACCACTTGCAGGGCAGGACTTTGAGCCTGGAGAACAACACGTTGTTCTGGAATTCATTTATAACATAATGATCTTTTTAAAATGCATATGTTACTTTTAACAAGCCTGAGAGTAGCTTTACCACATTCTTTCATCCAGAATATAACCAACTCTGGCATGAGACACAGAAACCATTATAGCTGTGACTATAAAAATACGCATACCTTCAAAGGCAAGAAAGAATAGTTTTGCCCTTTTAAGTGGAGGAAATGGAAATAGTAAAAGTTAACTGTTGCGCCTGAATTGGAATTTGAACAGGAAGTGTAAATCGCTGACCTATCTGGCAGGAGAAACTGTAATGATGCTTTCAGTAAGCTGAAAGCCTAAGTCCGTGTATGTAGTGCTTTGAGAGAGAGAAGGCCTCGTTTATTTAAAATGAACAGTGAATTTCAGTCCCTTTGTATCATCATGCTTCTGTTTTGCATTCATTTCTGTCTCTTGGTATATCAGGCTACTTTTTAAGTCAGAACTCTGTTGGTTCCTTGTGGAATGCCTACTGAAACTGGATTTTTAGGTTTTGCGTCCATACTAAATTGCGGTAGGGCTAAATAAATCTCCCTATTTGATTGAGCTTTCTTACTCTGCATTTCTTAGTTGCTCTGTGCTCTTAACTGTGAATTTTCAAAGAAATCTGCCTTGCAAGTACTATGTTTTGGAAATAAGATTCCTCTCTGAGTGTGTGCGTGTCTGTGTTATGGGGGGAAAAGTTGGAAACTCATCTTTGTACTGTCATCTTTCTTAGTTTGTAAGAAATGAGTAAAAGACATGGAGGTTGTTTACTAATCTGCTGAAAGAATATATGTGGGAGTACAAGCTGTTCCATGCTAATTTTCTAGTTCTGGCAGGGACCTTGTGGTACAATCCTAACACATGTAGCAAAGTAATGATGTACTGGCCAGGTAAGGAATCCACTCTGTGGCTTTCCTTATCAGCTTCTAATGGGAAGCAAAATCGGTTACTCAGATGTGCACTTGCAAGCGCGCAGTAAAGAGGGGTTATTCCTCACTGGCCCGTTGCAAAGGGTTTCCTAGTTTCCCCACTGGAGGCTGTTGCTCCTCAGCACTGCTGCCAAGTTGCTTATTTGAGATTTCCCTCTTCTGCTTCAGTGAGGACTGCTCTGTGTTGGTTGAGCCATGTAAATAGTAGCTTTCTTTTGACTCCCCTCGTTTTTGACTACAGGGAGTTTGGGAGTATGCTCCAACAGATACATGGTGAGAGGCAGATCAGGCCCTTCCTGTTCTTCTCTTCCATGCTCGCCAGCAATTAAGCTCTTCCCTATATCCTCATTTTTCTGCATGTTTTGTCATACTTCTGCTTCTAGCCTCAAACCCCATTTAAATTCTGCTGTTCCACGCCCTGGTTTTCATTGTTCCTCTTTCCAGTGTTTCTTTCACTTTGTCTTTGACTTCCCTTTTTGTTAGACTCAAGATTGTACAGTCTTCTCCTGAACCAGATAAACCTCATGGCCAATGTTTTATGTGGCAGCAGACGGACTTCCAATATCAGCAGTACTGGGTAGCACATAACCGTGATTTTTGTGTCCTTCGCATTTGTGTCAGTGTTAGCAGGTCTTGCCCCATCATGCCAGCAGTGTTTCCTGGAAAGCTGGGAGTGATCAAATAAGAAATTGTTATGGAGAAGAAAAGAAACAAAAATGAGTAGCAAATCGACCAATGGTGAAATGTGAGGAAGTTAGAGTTTAGGTAGCCAATGTTTGTATCAGACATCACAGAAAGAAGTAAAGCTCCTTGTTAGTCTTTGAAGTCCGCTTGAATCTTTGGTCCAGTCAGAAATACAAAGGGCTATGGGTATCAATATGCTCCTCTAAAGCCAAAAGACTAAAAAGCAGCAGGGGCCCCTAAGCCTGCATCATTCTGTGACTACTGAACTACTATTTCTCCAGCCCCTCATAGAAATGGAAGAGATAGAAGAGGAAAAACTGTGATGATCATGGATCTGACTGGGTCACTGACTTTAAGAATCACAGCTGATGAATTGAGTTCTGTCAGGTGATTCTTTGCTTGATACTGTGGCTAAACTGAGAACATAGCCTGACTTTTCCTGGAAATTCACCTTACTAGGTGTATCTGCCGCAACCTAGGAGTATTCCTGAGGCTGTTGTAGTACAAGCTTGTCTAGAACCACACTGGGGATTTTTCAGGTTCTCAGTGACGTGCCTCTTCTTAGTGTCGTATTTCAAATCATAGCTTACTGGTGATTTGCATTTCAACTATCCGGCTGCATGCTGATGAACTGTACTTATTTTGTATTTAGTACCTCTTACAACATAAAATTCACATTGTTTTAGATGTCCTCATCCTTCTGTGGACACAGAATAACATATTTAAAAGATTATTGAATGACAGCATTAGATCTTAATGCGTGTGATATCTTTAGCTTCTTAAACCCCCCTACCGTGTATTATGTAATAAAGAAAAGTATGATTCATGAGCACTGTTATAAACCTTGTTAATGCAAAATAACCTTTTGTAAAACTTCTGAGAGGTTTCAGAATTAACTGCAAAGCATGCATAGTACTTAATTTTGATAACTTTTTAATATGATACATTAGAAACGTTGTAAACCATGTTAATTAAGCGATAGTCTCTATGGCTTTCAGTATATGAGGCAATAAACGGTTACTGGAATAGATTACTAGGCAAAACAGAACAGAGTTTGTTTCACCTGCCTGGGAAGCCTACACACCAAATACACTGTTCTGGTTGTGAAAACAACACAGCAAAGAAACAACCCCAAACCTACCTTTCACTAAGGAGTTGGGTGTGTAGCACCACCACTGATTTCAGTAACCTCTGCGGGATTCTGGCATTGACCTACAGACTCCGTGAAGCAGAATTGTCTCAACTTTCATTACCTTCATTGCTTTTGCAGTTATTTCTATTGCTTGCTTTTTGTATTCCAGTTAAGTTCACAAAGTCTCTTGTGCAAAAGTGCAAGAAGATGGCTCTCACCCTGAATAATCTACTAATAAAAGTGAAATATACCCAGGGACAGGGTAAAGAACATTAATGTATGTTGAACAGATTTAAAAAATAGAACTAATCAGTTAATGTCTTCTCCTACTGGTTACTGCTTCTCTTTGTAACCATTATCATTTACTTACTGTCTTGAAGGTGTGAAGGTAGGAGTGACTCACAGGGAACTGTATGTAACACTTCTGGTGAGTCTGTTCACTGAGGAAAAGAATCTAACTACTGTGGAGATATGGAGAAATAGAAGAGTTAGACAGGCAAGAATGACACTGTAAAAAGTTGGATTTAGCCTTGTTTCTGTATAGAAAACCTATTAATGTAGTCACAGCATAACTGGAAGTTGGTCATGCCAAAGATTCAAGCCTGTTGAAAAATCTTGACTTCAACCTGATAGCTGGTGAATCAATGAAAGCTTCTGTTGTCTTGCCACAAATACACACAGTGCTAACTCAGTGCAGTCTCTTGTGTAGTGAGCCCAACACAGGGCTATATTGTTTTCTAACAATATCCTAATGGCTCTTTCCTTTTTCTTTTTTCTCTCCAGAATGTTTGTATGATAGAATAGCACAAGAAACTGTGGATGAAACTGAAATTGCACAGAGACTCTCCAAAGTCAACAAGTACATCTGTGAAAAAATCATGGATATCAATAAATCATGTAAAAATGAAGAAAGGAGGGAAAGTGCAAAGTACAATTTGCAATAAATTTTGGATTTTTAATAAAGTCTTAGTGTTTTACTTAAGTGTTGTTTTTTGATTTGTGTGCCATTTTTGATGATGGGAGAAGCTGACTTGAAACGTTACTCTCATGTAACTGATTCATTTTCTGAGCAGTACTGTCAAAGCCTTTCTATGGTGTAACCTGCTTTTCAATAATGTAAGATATGTTGTAACTCCACTCACAATGAAATGGTGAATTTTCAAAGGTTTTTTCAATGACTTGCAGTATGTTAACTGCAGTTCTGTATATAGGTTGTAATTCTGTGAACACCAACACATTTCCTCTACATTTTGTTTTACTGGAGTTAGAGGATCTAGGCTGCAGTAAACATCTGCTTAGAAGGAAGAACTGTACAAAATCCACTTTGCTATTGAAAAGGGTTTTATTGTATTTTACAAAATGTTTTTCTGAACTGAAATTTTAATCGTTTGTTTTTCTAAATCATTGTTTTGATCTCTAACAATATATTTGGTCAAAAACACACAAAGAACGCTTCGTTTTTACTTATTATCTGGTAGATAGATCACCATTGCCGTCATAGTTTTTAAAAAAAAGAACCAAAACCAAAAGAAACAACAAAGAACCCAAAGCTCTAAGTTGTAAAATCATGATAATTTATTTTAAAAAATAAATAGATCTAACGGCAGTTCTTTTTCAGGCACCAAGGCACTTTTCAGGTACAAAGCTCTTCAGCATCGTCCATATTACTGTATCTGTAGTGTATTTGTATTTTTCAACAATGTAAAGATTGCCAGACTGCGGCAAGTTTGTATATATATAATAGAAAATTAGTGAATTTTGTCTGAGTCCGTAATTTAAGAGTGGACACAGTTAGCACAAATTTAAACTGAAACTAGAAGTAATGTTCTAGATTAAAGTTAAGACTCGTGATGCACAGTTATAAGGAATAATTTGTTTTCTGCGTTATACCTTATTGTCTGTAAGTGAAAGAAAATATCCTGAAGACTAGTTTCATGAAGGATTATGAGAATAAGGTTTGTAGACATAACTTAGGGCCTGGACTGATCAGTTTTGAGGATTTGTTTTATGAGTGACCTTAGTTAACTTGCCATTTATTTTATGCACGCAGGTGTGATTATCTGCCTTTCAGGCTGTCGGTTCCCAGCATTTGTTTCTGTTCTACCGCTGCAATTCTGCTTCCCGTAGTTTTGAAAGACTTACCATTTCTTGTCATCTTCCTGTAGCGCTGGTACACCCTGATGGGAAGCCTGTTTCCATGTCCCGTATGCTGAGATAATTTAAAAGGAGCAGTGCAACGATTCTTTGAAGGGCTGGAGTAGATGGAAGAAAGGGGAAGGGACTGGAGGAGGCTTGCTAGAACTGCTGTGCCTGTTTTTTGGAAGAGATGGAGAAAAAACCCACATTGGCTCTTTGTGTACAGCATGTGTGCTTAAATGATGTCTTAATTCAGGGCATAAGTATTTGTTTTATGCTTTGTAAAGTGCAATGACATGATTGGCGTGTGCTAATCTTAAGTAAGCCATGCTGCCAGACAGGGACACCCCACTTTTGCTGCTCGTGCCTTGCATTCCCGTCCCTTCCCTTAAACTTGGGACTGCACAGGTGTGTCAGATCTCACTGGTTTCCAAGGTTCGTTTTGTAGGGGCCCGTGCCAACAGGACAACATTCATGGCAAGGGATGGGAAGGAGTGTCGTTTTACGGTGGCTTATGTGTGCCCTGAAATTGCATTTAACAGGCTAGCTTGTCTCCTGTTAATCTCAGAGTGTTCTTCGGTAGTGTTTAATGAAGTGCATAAATGTTTATGCTTCCTAATTTGGGATGCTAAATAGCAAATTAGTGTTTATAATGTCAGTGCATGTATCCTTTTATTAATTAAAGAACAAAATAGAGATAACATTGAAGAAACACTTAAACAGCAACTTCCCACTTTTCAAGCAGACTTGTGATTGTGCAATTTTTTTTTAAAAGTGGTAGTAGGGCAGTATACTAGTTATGGGGAAAATGTCTGTAATTTCCTGTCTTTTATGGCTTTACTACTAATGTGTTTTCATTGTAACAAATTCTTTAATGAGAAGACCATGCTGCACTTAGATGAAAAGCCTATTTGAGACAGTATTTTATGAAACCAGTGAAAACCAGATTAGTGTTTAATTGGAATTAGGGCTTCAGCCTGGCCTCAAAAATCAGAGATTCTTAAGTCTTTTTCAAAACCAGCATCATCTTTCTAAGACTTCTTGACAGACTTGTCCCATCAGATGTTAATGCTGCATATCGCCAAAGAGTTTACACGTTCCTTTTGGGGAAGTTATCTTGCAAGTCTTCATCCTTTTCTTCTTGGAGTTTCTATCAGCCCAGGTCCAGCAGACAGTTTTCAGCAGAGTTCAACAGGAGTATTTGCGTTCACAAAAAGTTTTGCTTCCCCACATTGTGGGGAGCTAATATTGTGTCCTTTGGACTGGGGAACTGGCATGTGATGTGAGCATCACCTGAAGCTTTGTCTTGGTTATGGTAAAGGAGTGGAACTTATTAAAGGTAATATACCTCTTTATTGTATTATAACTTGAACTAAATCCTCAGATTTCTGGAGTTTTTGCTATTAATAAGCGAGATTTGCATGGTGTAGTTCTAAGACAATATGTGGAGGGCTCTGCAGTGCCAGTGAGACAGGTGAACAACAGACGTGTGAACACCATCTTTACACCTTTACTCGTCTTTTCCCTCCCCATGAACCCGTACAAAGACCATACGTCTTTCCCAGTGTGTCTGTTTCAAGTGAGGAAATGGGCTGCCATTGTCATGTGTTCTGGCATTAGCCAGGAAAAATATAAACTTTAATGGGGTGTACTTTTCTGCATTGAAATACTGATGTATAAATTAACTGTGAATTTCATTTTACTATGTTATACAGCATTTATGGCCAGTGCTGTTCTTGTTGGTACATTAATTCCGTAATTGTGCCTGCCTGTACGTAGTTTTGCTTTGTTCATAATGCATCTGCCATGAATCTACCGTATGAAACTTTATGCAAAAATAGCGCCTGCTAACTTTTTCCTACTCTAGTTTGACTTCGTACATGTGCATCATGTGAAACAGGACAGAATTTTGACATAAAACGAAGTAGGTTTTATTACAACACTCTAATACCCCTCGTTGATCATTCTAAGGTTTGTGCGGTGCCATTGCTTTATACTGTGAACCTGGATTTGGGAGTACGAGAGAAAAACAGGCTTAAGAGAAACTGGCTTCTTGTCCTGAGAGATCAAATGCATACTGTTTGCTTTTTTTTTTTTTAAATCAAAGAAGGAAGAAGGTATTACTGTTCTATAAATAATCTGATCCTTTGTTGCCACACATTGCTGCTGTAATTTGTAATATTTATGTTGTGATCCATACTAAAGTGCCTTTGGCACACTTGCAAGGAAGAAAGATTAAAGTTAACAAAAAGAGCTTTATTTTCTATTAATGATTTTATAAGAGAAATGAGCCATTATATTAAAGGAAAGAATCCTACCAGAGATTTTAAAACCTAAGTCAAGATATCTAGCCACTCAATTAAAAAAAGAAAGCTAGTATTTGTTAGAGAGGAAAAAAAAAAAAAAAAAGTTAGTTCTGCTGTTAGAGGACAGGTTCAGATTTAGTGGTGCTTTATAGAGATGTGAGATTTTTATTTTTTAATACAGCCAGACTAAAATGCTTAGTCATGTCAAAGTTAGTCTATAAGTAGAAGGAATTAAGGTTGCATTTTGTTAGCTGTTGAGCATGACTGTCCAAAGAAGGTACAGTCTCCTTGTGGGAGGTCACTTCTTTGCACTGTGCCTTTCATGTTGTATCTGATAGTTTACTATGATGCTGCTTTGTTGTCTTAAGTGTGGATTATTGTCCTCTTGGAAGTTTTAATCAGCAAGAAATTGAACTTTTTTTTGATTTTGTAAAATTGGAAAGCTAATTCAATTCATACTTCCAGACTCCAAGACTTTTAAAAAGTGCAGGTCATCGTTAAAATAATGCTGCCTTGACGCAAAACCTCAAAGGAGTGGGAATGTTGTGAATCGGCAATGCTCTGTATTAGCTGCAGCTCACTGGGCATTAGCTGCATTTATAACTCTTGAGAAACCCAAATTTAGCTGGGTTCTGTACAGGAAGCAAGGTTGTGTCCCATGGAACTACACTGAGGATTATTTTCAGTTTCCATCTTCGGATGTGAGAATGGCCGCTCCTCAGAAAGATAAAAAGATGACGCTTGTGCTTCTTCAGAATGAGGTGGCAGTTTTCCTGCTATTCTTGAAAATATTTGTCATTCTATGCATGCCTTTAGTCTCAGATTGATGAAGTCATAACATCGATTGCTTAGACTTTATTGGTGTCATTTTTTTCATCGTAACTGTGGAACTGTGAAGTGATTCATACAACACTGAGGCAATAAAAATGTTATGATACGCAATCATTGCATGTTTCATGCTCAGTAGCTAATTTTTAATTTCACCATCTTGGACACTTTTTCATCCCTTGAGGCTTCCTAAATAGGAAAGGAGAATCATTTGGACTTGGAAAACAGGAACAGTGATTTAAAAAGGAATTAATTTACTTGGCTATTCATTTGCTTTACTTTTGCAATTATTTCTGCAGTTTATGTTAGAACAATAACTTTCATTCTGTGCGTCAGATACCTTCTTGTTCAGTCCTGCGGTGAAATCACAGTTGTGGCATCATTTATTTACCATAAAGAGCAAAATACCTCACCTATGACATCAGATGAAGTTACATTATGTCTGGATTGGAACAGAGGTGAAAGTCTGGGAGGACAGGAAGAAGCTGAGCCTAAAGGATTATTTTCTGTCCTGCCTTCTGACTAGAGAATTTCTTCCTGCAAAGGAAATTGTTTCCTCCACATTTAGCAGAATAACAACTTTATGTTCCTTGTTTATTGACAGTAAAACCTTAATGGAACTAAATTTATTAGTATATATGTTTAATGCACCAGGCTGACTACTTTCATATTAA